TTATTACGTATAATAAATATATACAAGTATAGATATCGATATGGTATTGTATACGTATTATTATATACACATATATGGTATATATTTATTTATTATTGTTATCATGTAAAGGGTGTTCTAGATATTAAACTAGAGTTCGTGATCTTTTATAAAACTTGTGACTCATAATTTTTAATTTATTATTATAGTTTTGAGGTCTTCCCTTAAGCTGTACAGACGGCTTTGAGACAGAAAGGAATAAAGGTTTGACGAGTGACACTTGAACGACCGGGAAATAATTTAGTATTCCATAAATTATGAAAAGTTGAAGTTTCATCATAACTGATAATTAGATGATTCTAAAGCCGTAAATTTCTTGGTTTAGGGTTATTTTCCAATTATGGTTATGAAGGTAATATGAATAGAAAGTACGTTTTAACAATGCGTAACAAGAAAAGATTAAAAGTTTATCTCAGGGTTTCCGGATAGTTTCGTTTATATATATTGTATAAGCATTTATTATCATTGTGAACGATATCATGCGTGAATATATTATCGTAATTATTAATTTGCAGCTAATCGAATACGTATCATTGTTTGTAATTTTGGCATCTCGATGCACCAAACATCTTCAGATTTTGTTAAATGATATGATTATATATGCTTCACAAATCGCGCATAATTTTTAATTTAACACAACATAATGATAGTTGATCTAAAAACTTTTTACCTAACACCGATACGCATTACAAATAAAATGTTCCAATGATATTTAATGTCGATATGCAATGAATGAATAATTTGAGTGTGATGCATATCATTGATTCTAAATGTCACAAATGCCACGAATTACCAAATATATTAAAGTCATTCTTTATTCTTATTAACGTTAATACGTAGCGATATTACTCTAGTAAGACGGTAATCTTCACGTGATATGTTATCAACTTGGTTAGATTACGATTATCAGTTATGTTCAACAAAACCTGCTTTCTTATCGTTATCGTTATCGTCATTATCGTTGGATATATGATCTGATCACACGCATCACTTAAATCTGCTTGCTTTCTTTGGTCATTATTACGATGAATAACTTTACATCAATAGGAAAAAAGATAGTTGCTATTGGTCGTAATTTTAGGTATCTTATCTATGTACATTGAATTACTATAAACTTTAATTCAATTAAGCTCTAAGTTTTTTTTAAAAAAAAAAGCGATCATGCTAAAGAACTTGGTAATACAGTACCCACATCCCCCTTCTTTTTTCTTAAACCAACTTCTTCATATTTACTGCAAGGTGGTAGTGTGGAAGTACCAAAAGGTTCCGAAGTTCATCATGAAGGTATTTATTTAATCTTATGATAAAAGATATGTTAAAAAAAATTTTTTTTTTATTGATTTACCAATTTTATTATAGTCGAATTGGGTGTCGTCATTGGAAAGAATGGTCGTGATATTACAGCCAATGAGGCACCTGATTATATTGCTGGCAAGTCAAATCAAGTTTCAGAAATATAAAAAAACATACCGATAATATCGTTATCATTAAATTTAGTAATTACCTTTGTAAATGTGTTTACCTAAAAATTTAAGGCTATGCACTCGGTATCGACTTGACAGCTCGTGATATTCAGGTAACTATGAAGAGAATAGAATTTCCTTTTAATAAATAAAATAATTTCATTGAAACGTTATTTCTAATTATAATTGAAAGACTGAAGCAATAAAAAAAGGGCTTCCATGGAGTGCGGCAAAGGGATTCGATACATTTACCCCTATTGGGTAATTATTCTAAATTTATTTCATCAAAAAAAAAAATTCTTTTGACTAATTATGGTTTAATTTAGAGATTTTATTCCAAAAGATTTGATCAAAGATCCTTCAAATGTTAATTTATGGCTCAAGGTAAGTATGTTATGTTTTACCTTTCATTCATGCTGTATTAAATAACCGAATGAAATTGTTTAATTTCATAATATTATTGATAGGTTAATGATCAAATGAAACAAAATGGGTCGACAAAAGATATGGTCTTTAAAATTCCAACATTGATCGAACATATTAGTTCGATCATGAGACTTGAAAAGGGTGATTTGATCTTAACAGGTAATGTCAAAAAATTAATCGATTATTTTATATTAATTTCATATATATATATCGATATATATATATATATATATATATATATATATATAATTAATATAATATTATATGATTATTGTATCATATTGATTTTTTTTCGATAAAGGCACACCATCAGGAGTTGGTCCAATTTTTGCTGGTGATGTTATGATTGCAGGATTAAATGTGGGTGATAAGACCTTATCACAGGTCGAGTTTCCTGTTGTACAAAGAAATAAACCTAATAAATAGGTAAGAAGATTAAAAGGCAATTAACTACTGTAATACTACAATATATTAAAAGTGATCGTTAAATAAAAACTGCTAAGGCTTTTTTTTTTATTGTAATCAATATCTTTTTCAAATTAAATATATATACAAAATTCATACGAAACAATATTTCAAGATAATCCACTTTGATCATTTTAATCATTTTAATCATTTAATCAATAATTTCCACGTTTCACTTGCAAGTTCGAGACTGCAACTTGAATGCAGCGCCTTATACAGATCATTTCGCGACTATCGCGTTACATCCGCGAACAAAAAAAACTCGTAATTATTATGAAAGAAACGCGTAAAGTCTCATATGATTCATGCATTCTGTGATGATGATGATATTTCTTAATTGAATTCTTGATCTAAACATACAAGATCATTGTGATTATATTGTTCTTGAGGGGCATCCGAGGGGCGCGTCTAAACGTCTACCATAAAAGCGCTAATTTTTTTCGGTCAATTCCGTGGCTAGCGATTCAAATTTTGATTACTAAATGACGCGAGAACGCCGAATGTTAAAGTTTTTTTTATCATCAAAAAAAAAAAAGTCACCGGCTATGCTTTTTATATTTTTGTATACTATATATGTATGTATAAATATAAATATATAAATATATATATGTATTGAACCTTAATTAAATCAATTCAAAGCCTTTGTAATTTCAAGAAAAAAAATTTCACGATCTCTGAGATTATTATTCGAAAGATCAATCTGTGAATCTACTTTCAATTCCCGAATATCCTAAGCATTAGCCAACGCCAAAACCTAAGCAATATTTATTATAATCATGGCTTTGTAACTAAGCCATTCTTGTAACTATAAGTCAAGCTAAAAAGTCTTATCAAAATAAATATATAAAATGGCTTACTTAATTTTCTTTAAATTTCGGTTTACCTAATTAACCCTGCGGTTTTCTCAGTTTATATAATCAATCCCGAATGTTTTTTTTTATATATATTCACTTTTATTCACTTCACCATAATATAAACGCGCCACAAAACAAATTAAATCCAGCATATAGTTGATTTTTTATTATGTACGAAAAAAAAAGGTAATATATATTATGTATAATATATAAACTTTTCATAACTCATAATTATAAATCATAAAATGTGGCGTAAAAACGGTTCTTTTTTTTTTTTTTTTTTACAATTTTTATATATATATATATTTTTAATTTAATGGATGAAACTAATTTTGGTTTTTTTAAAAAAACTAGTACAAACTTTAATCATAGGAGGAGGAAGACATGAATGAATAATTTATAAGAAAACAAAAAAAAGAACATACAATAATGTACAAAGAATTTATTTAACATAATTAAAAATTGCTTTTAGCGCATATAGTGAGCTTTTTTTTTTTTGTTAATAAAAAAAATGTTATATAAAATGTTTAACGTAACATTTTAATCATTTTTCAGTAGTAATACGAGTGGTCGATGTTAATAATTGTCCATGAGTCACCATATGTGACGGAAATCCAGGAAATGGTGTAATTTTGGAAGAATATGCTAACATATGCTGTGGTGCGTAGGGATGTGTATGAAGAGCATGTAAAGCGCGTTGTTGTTCTTGCAAGGCAGTTTGAGCTCGTTTTCGCGTTAACTTGGCAAAATCTAAAAAGAATAACATTAATTAATAAATAGGTAAGAATGATGAAATATTCTTTAAATAAAAACTTACGCAGTCCGCAAGCATTACACAAGGTTCTCGCACCATCAGGTCCGCGACGCCATTCAGGCGTTTCCTGTATGTTGCAAGAATGACATCTTCCTGGAGGAGCAGGTCTTTTCTATAAAAGGAAGGCATAAAAATAATTAAACCTTTAACATTCATTAAGATATCAAGTTTTTTTAATCTATACTTACAGTTCGTTTTCGATATTTTGGTCGTGTGGGTGCAACACCTGAAGTAGTCCGTTTGTTCCTAATGAGTTCTATTTCACTCTATATATATATTTTTATATTTTTTTATATTTTTTTATATTTTTTTTATATAAATAAATTATATATACATAAATAATAGATTCAATGTAAATAATAAATCAATGTAAATAATAAATAAAATAAACATATTGAAATTATATAACATACTTACCGGTCCACGACGATTTACAGTTTCATCTTTTAAAGCATTTAACACATAAAGTACTTCAAAAGCTTTATTAATCATTTCTGTAACGTGAGCTTCCGTAGGAATATTATTAGATTCATTAGGAATCGTTGTAGGCCAATTTAAGGATCTATTTCCCGATTGACTGCGCATATCACTGTATTGAGCTGCAAATTGTCCGATTAACGAGCAATGGTCAATTATCTAATTATAACATTTTAAAAAAATCATATTATATTATGTTTTTTAGATACCAAATATATTGAATATATTGAATATATTGAATATATAGGTCGAACGCATCAAATGTCAAAAAAAAAGTATAACGAAAATGTCAAATATCTCTATAAAAAAAAAAAAAGATAATAAACCTTTTTCAAATCAACTGAAGTCTTTTCACTGTTTAAAGAAACTGATTGATATACATCCTTTTCAAAAGAGGCGCGATAATGGTGATACTCTGAAGGAAAACTACTAGTACCATATTGAATTGATGGTTTTTGAGCAGGACTTTGCTTCAATTCATCATTGGCAGGTAAACTTACTACATTTGTCGGATTTGAAGATGGTTGCGGTCTTAGTGGAATTTGAGGTGATCGATAACCATTAACCATGAGAGATGTTTGTTGATTCTCCCATGTTGATGAGTTACGAGGTTGTGAATGCTGAACATTAAGATGAACGAGTCCATTATTTGAAGGATGCATACATGCTACTTGTAAATGAATATTATTTTCATGAGGATGATCAACAGTTTCAGATTTTGATTGAGAGGAAATCTGTTGAGATGGGGAAGAAGAGGATTCACCAGAACGAACATTTAATAATGAATGAACGACTGGTGAATTATGTTCTTTCAAACTTGGACTTGGTGAAGTTGAATGTGAAGTCCTTAAGCAATGAGCATGTTGCTGTGAAGGTTGTCCTCGTGATAAATTATCAAGAGAAGCCGACACATGATTCATAACGGAAGGAGAATTAACAGGACTCGCATGATGCTCAAGTCGAGGTTCAGAATTCACCGGATGGTGTTTAGAGGTAGAAGACTGTAAATAAGGAGGAGGCATAGTTATCGAAGTGTCATCATGATGGCCCAAGGATGTTTTCACAGGGACGGATTGTGTTAAAGGACATAAAATAGAAGATATTGGGGGTAGAACACTCTTGCTATTATCCGAATCTGAAGAAAAAGTTCTTGTCAACGCATCAGTCCTTGTAAATGACGCGCTGGAATGAATCGTTTCGTTACCAAAGGATGGAAAAGAACATATAGAGGAAACATCCATTGTTGTTTGAATATTGATGTGTCTGTGTTGCTTTACTTTTCTTTGATAACAGTATTATGATAAAAGGTCGTAAGTCATAAGTTTAGTGTAGACAATTTCATGTTTTAATTAAAAAAAAAAAAAAAACTTACTTCTATATTTATAAAAAACAATAAAAAAATAAAATAATAATATATAATAATATAATAATAATAAAATACTAATAAGACGACTCTAAATAAAGTGAATTCTAAATAATAATAATTAAAAAAAAAAAAAAAAAAAGGAAGACTATTATTATATAGCGCGTAAGGTGCGCTTATCAGTTTGTGTCTATTTTATTTAAAGAACAAAAGGTTCAATGCCACCAAAGAATGACAGAAGACATGGGCGGGAACAAATGGACCAGTGGCAACACTGTTAAATAAAAAGAGAAAGTGGCGGGTCAATGATTTATGAGGATAATAGATGATTTTTATTCCCATTAGAGCCAACCAAAAATGACCATTGGGTATATTTCATGCAGTAGAATGTAGTATAAAATGTACAAATACCATTACGTTAAGGAACTATAGTCTAAAATAAGTTGACAAAAAAGTGAATGCCGGTGAGATGATGAGATCCGAGCAGATTTTGCATAACATACTTTGTGGCTGCTAAATGCAAAGAAAATCCCCTTGCTTGTTTCCCGTCATTATTTTATCATGATTGTATAACCGCGCAAAAAAAAAAAAAAAAAAAAAAAATGCAATGTGGGCTTCGGTGTAGCAGCAAACAACATGCTGAAAGCGTGTTCGGATGTAATGGGTCGGGTGGTCAAGGCTGGATTCTACGTGGCGACGGGTAATTCCGTAGTTGGAACGTTTGTCCGAACGGAATATCACATACAAACATTTATCGCCTCACATAAGTTTGTTTTATGTGTCAAAACAAAGATAGTCCTTACCACATAATATAATATATTAGCACATTATCACATTTCTTCTGAGAAAGGAAAATTAATCGCATTATACTACTTGCTTTTGAGATTCTCCAACTTGTTCAACGTGGTCAATAAAGAACATCGATCAGATCTACATGGCATGTTATATCCCTCGATTCAAAAATGGTTAACTCAAAACCAAAAACTTGGCGAATGAGATCTATCAGTCCTTATTTTTTGGATTCACAAAAAATCTTACAAGATTGACCGGCATTTTCATATTCGAATTCAGAAATTAATGAATTTCCAAATATTGACTGACTATACCGGTACTTGTTTTAGACTCCGATACACAAAGGTTACAATGATTTTAACACAGCATTATTCGGATAGGATCATGTGACCATGTTCGAATCCTGACACTATGTACGTACGTAAGTACCATGACAATTTGAAATTGATACGTATCGGTATCACTGAGATGTTAGTTGAAATGTGTAACCTAACACGTAACCAAAAAAGCGAAACCAATGATCGGCTATGTTTCATCATAACTCAATTGGATCATCGTTAAGAGTAAACAAACCATAAATGTATACATTTAAATCTATTCTGCAGAGGCTATGATTTAAGGCGCACGATATTTGTAGTCAAACTGTTATGTTTCCCTACGGCGATGCTACCATCTGCTGAGCTTACTACAAGCATGATAAGCATAATATTTCGGATTATCGGATATTGTTGTATTTGGTAATTATCAATAACTCATTCTTCTATCTACCAATAAAAGTATAACCAATTCAAGTCACAAATTTTGGTTGGTCCCAAAGATCGTAAATAATTCGATATTAGAATATCGATTTGTAAACACAGTGACGGTTACACTCGAATTACCTTTTCAAATATTTTTGATCCTTCTGACTTCGAGTCGTCACACTGCATCCCTGCATGAGGAAAGTTAAATCCATCTAGAATTATTTATATTCTTTGTGATTCCTGTGTGTGCATCATATGGAATTAATTACTTATTTCGTCATCCTCAATAGTTTTCCAAATTTTGCTAATTTAGATTTCGGCTGGTCTAGAAAAACTGTAGCAAATTTTGGTACCACATTTAGTGGATTTCTTTTCTTCAATCCTATTTTCTCCTATCATCCCTTCTTTACTTTCCTGCGGTCAATTGTTCGACATATATTGTCGCACCGCATAACACAACAAACAAACAATTAACTAACAAACAAATACAAGCCATGTCGTGTCACCATGTGTACAAGAAAGGTCTTAGGTAAAAAAGGATATTTCATAGAAACCATAAATTTATAGATTCTTCATTTTTACGCAAGATATTGTCAAGATCCTCAATTATTATTTCTTATTACTCAGGTTCAATCCAACATCTTCTTGTTTGTTTATCTTCATTGTCACTTGCCTCCCTAAGATTGACCATGCTGGTTGATGCTTTTATTAACAGGTTTCTCCGTGAAATATTTGTGCCTACTCACGCATTTATAATTGTGACCGCATGGCATTAATTTGTAACACGATATCAACGTGTGGTGTAAAGTTATTCATCCTGCCAAGTACGTAAATAACGCCAGGTTTTTTGAAACGTTTCTAAATTTTAGCATAGAACTTTTAATTTTTGTGTTTACATGAATAAAGCTCATTTGACTTAATAATTAATTCCTGTACCATGTGATCTAGATCTCCGCAAATCTGTAAATCATGTATGTACTTTGAATTGCCTATTTCGATAAATCAGATAATTGTTATATATCTGTAGATCGAAGAAAACTGGTTCTTAAGTTCTTGATTGGTTTCACACTTTTGTTCTGATTCAGGTTGATTGATCTTGTATCCATAATTATTAGCGCTTTATCCTGTAGAATTCAGAAGTAAGTGTTACTATACTTATTAACGTGACACCTTAATCATTATCTATAGTTTGTATTTGTGGTAATCATACTTTCCTAACTTATGGATGCAGGTCGTATTCTTTATCAAATGTAGGCATCCATGGATGTAATTTTGCTAATGAAACATGTAACCAAGCTTTCTTTATTAATTTTCTGTATGCATGTCACTCCAGTTATGTCGACATTTTCTAGAAATTAGAAAAAAAATTCAAAATATCGTTACGGTAAATTGATATTTAAAAAAACTGTAGTCATTAAAAGATTTACTATTATGTTATATTCTGATGTAAGTATAACCAGAGTGACATGTTCAAACTTCACATTTTTAAATATTCTTAATATGGTGCATGTAGCTTAGAACCAACATTACGTGACCAAAGATGGCCAAATTTTAAAAAATTTTTATTATAAAAATTTTCGTACCACATAAAAATTAGCCAATCAAATTTTAGCAAAATATAAATTTTTTAAAAAATCTATATTAGTGGCCAAAATT